TTCAGTATCCATGTGCTTCTGTGTATCTTCATTTGAACTATTTTGTGAAATAAATTCGATACAAGGCCATCTTGGTTCATTTATCGAGGTTGCTGACCAAGCTGAGACACGCCCACTTCGCTGCTTCCGCGGAGAGCCGAGAGTGGCTCAATTCGACATGCTCGCTATGCTGCTACCGCAGTGAGCTGGGAGTGGCCAAAGAATCCAAATTACATCGTATTGGGCCTAAGGAATGAGTGTCATTAATCCCAAATTACATCGTATTGGGTCTAAGGAATGAGTGTCATTAATCCCAAATTACATCGTATTGGGTCTAAGGAATGAGTGTCATTAATCCCAAATTCCTATTCGGAAACCTAAATCTCAAACTGGACCTCTTTCTATACTGACACAGGGGAACCACACAATCACCAAATATATATTGTAAAATTTGAATTCTCCCTCCGAAACTGGTCGCCATCGTGAATGAACCGCCGTCTCCTCTCCGCCCCAAATTGACTTAGCGGTATTACTTATTCACAACAGTTTGCATGAGTTGATTCAGCTACCCAGAAAACGTATATTTTGATACCAAACGCGATCATATTATGATAATTGGGTGGCAATTGGAATTTTCAATCCAAAACCAGTGGCCATTTTTGATTGTGGGGGATATTGCCAAAATACATGTATAAAAAACCAGAAGTCAAATTAAGTAAGAACTATCTGTTATTATAGCTAAATCATGCCAGGATGCTTATGATCTAGGGGTAACAATTACACCAACAGTTATTATCAGACCTGATCCAAATCAACCAGCTGTGACGGTGTCTTGTGAGATTACAAACAATGGAGTTTATACCATTATAGGTAAATATTATTATTAATTATTCATTAATACACTTTAATTTACGACTCCCAAGGCACAATACTGAGAAGGAACCCCAGAAGCACCGTACATCTCTATAGTTAAAACCATTTCTGTACAGAAACTCTTTCATAATGTCCTTACTATTTCGTATTTTTGTTATTCTTCAAGATGCCATAGGATAGCTCCGATTTTAAGTAGATTAGAACGGTTCGGCCATTTAATAATTTAATTTATTGGGGAAGTGACGCAAAGACTCGAATAAACAGCGCCGGGGTTACGATACTTACTAAACAATCAATACACACATCTTGTCAAAACTACAAACAGTGATTACTCCGCTCAGAATACAGTAATTTGAATGAAATTTTCAATATATTCATTTTGCATTATCTATTTGTTGAACTATTATAGCAAGAACCGGCAGTTTTTTTTATCTAAATCTTACATTATGTAACTTTAAAATACATAAATACAGTTTATAAAAAATAAAGAATACAGATTTAGTCCCTTGAAATTTTTGTCAAATCGAGATACTTTCCAGTCAACCATCAAATCACTCCCTTGTACACAAGTAAAATTAGACATTTGCTACATCACGGAATCGGTAAGTCCGGTCGTAACATGGTCAACAAAGCCAACATGTAGCGGGGTGCCAGGAGACAAGGGGACATAACCATGTCGTCAAAATCCGTCCCGAGTGCACAGTATACTACTACAGTCCATTGTTTCTTGTGAACACTCAAAAGTGTCCTCGGAAATGATTGTTTAAAGTCCTATTTTTCTGCACCAACCGACTAATTACGACAAGCATATTATGCCCCACAGTATGCTATATATACTCTTAAAAAAGTAGGGGATATTGAAATGCAAATACCTATGCAGGAAGTGTTAAGATAGTCATGGACACTTGACATGGTTTGAGAGTATGTTCACAGATGAAGAACTTATCGCCCCAACAGAATCACTGAGCTGCACATGCGACAGGCAATAGCGCCATACACGTGGGAGGGGTTCATTGTCAAATTTGACACATCAAGGAAGGGTTGATGAAAACTGCCGCGAGCTGGTTTATCTATGCATGTTAGCATTCCTATCGGTTCTTGCATAAGATTTACTGTTTAGCATATCTTTGCTTTAGTGTGTTACGTTTATTTTCATCGGGAGACGTATTCGTCGACGTCAACGTCAACCGACAACACTGCAAGAATTGGCCGTGGCACTGCAAGGGGAGTGGGTCAGATTGCCCCAAATCGTGATTGGGTGGTTTGTTAGAAGCATGGCACGACGAATTGCTGAATGTCTGAGGATTGGTGGAGCAATTACTCATTATTTAGACAAAAAGACAAATGAGTTCACGCTGATTTAAATGATGATTTTCTTAGAGCTTGGTAAAAACATTACTTTTAAATGTGAGGGTGGGGGCACAAAACTTGGTCTTATAAATTCACAGCTCGGGTGGCTATACTCCCCCCACCCCTTCAGCCACCGGACTAATATGGATTCAAACTATTACCATTAGCCTTATTGCTTTAGGTCTATGTGTACTAGATGTGTTTTATAATCCTTATGAAGTATAATTTTAAAACTTTCTTTAAAACTAATGTAAATAAGTAACATTAGTAACAATGCGGACTTTTTCTGTCCGTTTCCGAGGTCGTCAATTAACATTGAACGACAGGCACTTTTGATCAAAACATCATTAAAAACCTTTCCATAGCGGTGAAAATGTTTACACCACGGAGAAAATATTTACACCGCGGTGGAAAGGTTTTTCATGTTTTTTTTTATTTATCACAGTTTTCACTGCGATTTCTCTCATATGAGGTAAATTTCACGAAAAATGTATAAATCAGTGTATGGCACTAACAGGCCACCGTACAATTGGCCTGTTATTAACATACACTGGTCACCTCTAATAAAGGGGGGGGGGGGCTGAAGCACCCTGCACGTTTCAAGTCAGTAGCTTGAAGCGTATATATGGTATTAGTGTCAGTGGCTTGTGGCACGAAGTAACAGTATATTGTCGCATACATAATATATTATGTCAACGCTTGGGCGACATAATATATTGTGTTGACGCTCCAAGCGTGTTAGCATATTAGACCTGTAGACTCAGTGGAATGTACGCGTCATCAGAGCGGATCCAGGGGTTGGACCATGGGGACCGGTCCACCCCCTTAACAATAGAAAGTGTCCCTGTAAATAAAAGAGGGCATCCTTATCAGAAAAAGGGCACCTGTGATGTCAGAATTTCAAAAAAGGGCACTTTTCTTTCGGATTAGGGTTAGGGTTAGGGTTAGGGTTAGGACACAGGAAAGAGAGAAAAAACAGAAAAGAAAAAAACAATCGAAACTTACCGATTCCATGATGGAAAATACCGCCAAAATATGTCTCCAAAGCATTCATTGGTTATCAAAGCGCCAATTAAATCTATCGTTGCAAGTTCATGCCTAGTCACCTCCATCCTAGTTCCAAGCGTTGACATAATATATTATATCGCCCAAGCGTTGACATAATATATTATGTATGCGACAATATACTGTTACTTCGTGCCACAGGCCACTGACACTAATACCATATATACGCTTCAAGCTACTGACTTGAAACGTATCGCCTGGCTGAATGGTTAGCACGTGCGCGCTGTACCATAAAGTCTGTCATTGAGTCAACTGGCGTGGTTTCGAATCCCCGGTTGTACGTGGCAAGGAGTAGGGTCACCTGTCCAACCTCGTGGGGTTTCTCCGGGTCCTCCGGTTTCCTCCCACTGCTAAAGACCCCTACGCGCAAGCGAATTATTGAAATAAAATTAAACCATGTGTTAGTCCCGAAATGACCTAGTTTGTGTTGAGTGGACGTTAAACCCCATTTCTCTCTCTCCTCTAATAAAAACAACAGTGCATTTCCGCAGTTTTGTATTGTTTCTGAATATCCCCCACTTTTTTTAAAGAGTATATGAGAGAACTTTTGCCCGGAAAGTTGTGTTTCTAATTAATTATTTACTTGACTTTGCTGCCGTAAATGAGTAACGTTGCCTTCAATGTTTAACAATTCCAAATTGCCCAGTCTCCCCTGCGTCATTGTGGAAAGCAGAGTTGATTTAATATTTAATTCCTTCCAATTCACTGAAGAAACGGGGATTATTAAAAATCAATGAATCATTATAAACACGTCTAGAAGTTGCACTTTAGCATCGAGAGTTTAATGCCCACTTGACACAAACTGTCATTTCGGGACTAGCATCAAGTACAATTTTATTTCAAGCTTGGGATCAAAATTACACCACTTGACATTATGATCTAAAACAAACGCGTTAGATATCTGACACCCCCTCCCCTCCTCCAACACACCGATGAAACCCATATTAGGTTATAGGCCACGATGTAGCCAATAGAGAGAGAGAGAGAGAAATGGGGTTTAACGTCCACTCGACACAAACTAGGTCATTTCGGGACTAACATATGGTTTAATTTTATTTCAATACAACACAAAACTGTAGAAATGCACTGCTGTTTTTATTAGAGGTAACCAGTGTATGTTAATAACAGGCCAATTGCCTACACATGAACATAAACAGTTCATATTAGACCAGGGGCTCAGCGTGGGGGGGGGGGGGGGTCCGCCGTTGGGGCGTTTTCCCACTCCTCTTGCAGTGCCACGGTCAATTCTTGCAGTGTTGTCGGTTGACGTTGACGAACACGTCTCCCGATCAAATTAAACGTAACACACTAAAGCAAACATACGCTAAACAGTAAATTTTATGCAAGAACCTATAGGAAAGCAAACATGGATAGGATAAGCCAGCAAGCGGCAGTTTTCATAAACCCTTCCTTAAAATGTCAGATTTGACAATGAACCCCTCCCACATGTATGGCGCTATTGCGTGTGCGCACATGCAGCTCAGTGGTTCTGTTGGGGCGATAAGTTCTTCATTTGTGAACATATTCTCAAAGCATGTCAAGTGTCCATGTCTATTTATCATATCACAACCTGCATAGGTATTTGTATTTCAATATCCCCTACTTTTTTTGAAGAGTATATTATAAGCCATTTTGATGGGCGATACGGGTATAGAACATACTGTTAACGATCATTATGTAGCCAATAGAACATACTCTAAAAGATGACATGTTATTTTATAGGTCATGGTGTAGCTAACAGAACGTATGTTAACGGTTACGAAGCAGACAGAAGTTATGTTGGAAATATAAGCTACGATATTGGTCTGCAAACAGTCATAAACATAGTTGAAGCCTCGGTAGAATGTGAACAATATATTAAATATGAATGTTATAATGCCCATAGTGTGTCATTTGGGTTAAATACACGTACTGGTGCCTTAGCAACTTATTTAATTGGAGGCGTCAAAGGTCAGATGGATTGCGCATGTCATCTTGATAATACATGTGTTGATGGTTTACTATGTAATTGTGAAAAGAATGATTTGGTATTAAGAGTTGATGAGGGATATATTCGGTATAAAGAGGACCTACCAATTACCGCCATTTTGGCAGGTGATACAGGTATGTATAAATGGTTATTGTTTTAAATATAGTCCAGGCAAGATACCATAAGTGCGGACAGTTGCTGCAATAGAAATGCCGACCACTGTTTTTGGTATATTATCACCAAAAAATGTCTCAGTCCGAGATCCGTGACCAAATCAAATTGGCCAAAATCCAAAATGGACCCCGGTTTTGGCTTGTAAATTACAATTTCCACCCAACTATCATAATATGATCAAGTTTGGTAACAAAATATACGTTTTCGAAGTAATTGAATCCAGTTCCATACACATTTTTGTGATAAGTGTTACCACCAAGTCAATATTAGGGATTATTCATGATGACGGTCAGTTTTGGCGGGAAAATTTGAATTTTACATAAGGATCAAGTTTGGTGTCAAAATATACGTTTTCAATGTCGCTGAATCCATTTTTGTACATATTTTAATGATTAAGTGGTTTCCTGTGTCAATATAGGAGACATTCCGGTTAGGGATTTGGATTTCCGATTATAGGGACTGGAGATTAATGATACTCCTACCTTAGACGTCATACAATGACCGTTATCCAATATCAACTAAATTTCATTTGGAGTCTCTCCCAGTTCACTGCAGTAACGACGTAGGGGCCACATACGGAAGCTGATCATGGCTATTGAAGCACATGGCGAATTTATTTCACAAAATGATTCAAATGTTGTGACAAAAATGGATACAGTATCGCCCTTCCCCTGTTCCATCCAAATCCAGAGATACTACAAACCAATCGCACTCAGTGTACGTACGGAATATATCCGTTTTTCATTGATGATGTAAGGGCCCCATACAAGTTCAATCGGACCCTGATTTTCACCGATGACTTCCAGAATAGATTTCACAGCCTGATTATTCTTTCCATAATATTCAGAATCAATTAATTTGTCTTAGTTTTATTTATTTATCTAAATGAATTTAGGAAAATTGCAATACGGGCGACGGGGCTAACCATCACCACGAACTCTATTGCTATTTAATATGTCACCAGTAACTTCCTTGTCCTGGCTTAAAGTGTATCTTGATCGTCTTCACGTTCTTGGGGTTGTCAGTTTACTTTCAATTCTACCCCCCCACTCATTAGGAAACAGAATCGAATGATTGTTTTTCTTTATTCACAGGTCGTTTGGTACTTGATTGCAGCTTACTATGTTCATGTTCAGCTCCACACTCACGCCCTTCCTTATTTAATAGAACAAAACTACAGCAGTAATAAAGGGACACTAGCACTCCCGTCCCACTTTACGCTAATAGTAAGAACAGGAGAACAACACCCAAGATAAGAATCAAATATAATCCTGCGAAATAGCTTCCTGCTAAATGGTTCCCTACTACATAGCTACCTGCTAAATGGCTCCCTACTAAATAGCCCCCCCCCCCTGCTAAATAGCTTCCTGCTAAATGGCTCCCTACTAAATAGCCCCCGCTAAAAAGGTTCCTGCTAAATGGCTCCCTACTAAATAGTCAACTGCTAAAAAGGTTCCTGCTAAATGACTCCCTACTAAATAGTCCACTGCTAAAAAACTTCCTGCTAAATGGCTCCCCACTAAATAGTCCACTGCTAAATGGCTCCCTACTAAATAGCCCCAACCCCCTGCTAAATAGCTTCCTGCTACATGGCTCCCTACTAAATGGCTCCCTACTAAATAGCTCCCACTAAAAAGCTTCCTGCTAAATGGCTCCCTACTAAATAGTCAACTGCTAAAAAGGTTCCTGCTAAATGGCTCCCTACTAAATAGTCCACTGCTAAATGGCTCCCTACTAAATAGCCCCCAACCCCTGCTAAATAGCTTCCTGCTACATGGCTCCCTACTAAATGGCTCCCTACTAAATAGCTCTCGCTAAAAAGCTTCCTGCTAAATGGCTCCCTACTAAATAGTCAACTGCTAAAAAGGTTCCTGCTAAATAGCTCCCTACTAAATAGTCCACTGCTAAAAAAACTTCCTGCTAAATGTCTCCCTACTAAATAGTCCACTGCTAAATGGCTCCCTACTAAATAGCCCCCACCCCCTGCTAAATAGCTTCCTGCTACATGGCTCCCTACTAAATGCCTCCCTACTAAATAGCCCCCGCTAAAAAGCTTCCTGCTAAATGGATCCATCTAAATAGTCCACTGCTAAATAGCTTCCTGCTTAATAGATGGCTGGGATCCAGAAGTTATGGATGTAAAATATATATTGTACCAGCAATTGGTCTGGCTAGTTAAATCATCTGTTCATGGCTTCAATAACCCCTAACCTTGCAAAATTAGCAGTTTATTTCATAGAATCACTTTAATCCGCCAACTGTTTTTAAAGGCTCGAAAATCCCAGAACTGTCTTCTTCAACACTGGGATTATACTACTGGAACCTCTTGGTTAGTGAACCAGTGCTTTATTTATCGGACCAATATGGTTCCCTGTATCATTTTGTACAAGAGTAAAAAAGAATACTTAATCCAGTACTCCGCGTAGAAAAGGACTTAAGAGATATTATTTTAATTATCATCGTTGTCAAAAGCTGCGATTCGTCATTCCATTAAGTATAAGTATCCGTATTATACTGTTGAAAACGTTTAAATGAAATAGACAGTTGTGACACGAGATAAGATAACTACCGGGGTTATTATGTAAAAAGTATATATTATTCGTTTTATGTTTTGATAGGACACAGTACTGAGTACGCCTATTATACAGTCGGCAATGTCAAGTGTAAAGGGTAAGTATAATTAATTTATTATTCTTTAATATGCTAGTTGTAATCACTGGTACCTTTTTGGTATGATATGTTTATACTATGATAAATATATTCGTCATTACGGGGGTAGGGTCGCCTGTCCTAAAGAGCGAATTATTGAAATTTAATTGAACCATATGATAGTTCTAAAATGACGTAGTTTGTGTCATGAAAAAAAATTGATGAAAAAACTCAATTAAAATACGCCCATGGCAGCTCTGTCTCAACTGCAACTTATCCGAAAGGAAAACTTGGATGTTGATCAAATTTGATAACTTCGGAACGGAAAGTCGCAGAACGCGTAATATCGATAGGGTTTATCCTCTAATGACCCCAATGCTTCTCAACAAATTTGAAAGAAGTCCAGTAAAAACTAGTCTCTATCGCGTTCACAAGACTTGGCAAATGGGGATTATCTCTAGATCGGATAGTTCATCCTCTCATGACCCCAAAGATTTCCACCAAATTTTACAAAAAATTGTTGAAAGATATAGCCTCTAAGGGGAAAGGGGGGGGGGGTAAATCCGAACGAAAAGTCGCGGAACACTGAAAATCAATAGGTTCATCAAATTTACTTCCCATCTAATTTGAAAATATCCGTTTAAGCTACAAGAATCGTGTTCACAAGGTTTTCGGGAAAGAGGGTATTACCCTTAAACGGAAAGTCGCAGAACACTGAATATCGATAAGGTTTGTTCAATAATGAAAAAGTCGCGGAACACCAATTCTTTCCACCAATTTTGAAAAACATCCGTTAAAAACTACATCATCTATCGCGTTCACTATGTTTTCGGAAAAGGGGGATGACTCCGGAACGAAAGTCACGGAACTCTGGAAATCATTAGCGTTCGTCCTCGTATGAACCCAATGCTTTCTACCATTTAGTAAAAGATTTTTATGTGGGCTATAAAAATAATACTTCTGTTTTATTCTAGTTTTATGACTACACTCCGGTATTTTGAATACATTACTAAATCATTATATTATCTTGCAGGTAGCCAAAGAGCCAGTCTAAATGTTTAACTACGTTGTTTTGAAAGTGGGGATATGTTGGATTAAAGTACAACCCAGATTTTCACATTCATACATATATAAAAAAAATAAAATATGTTATTAAGCACACCTAAAAGATTAACCATATTGCAAATTACAGAATTGTGTGGAATAAAACAATCACCTTGTGTTGCCGTTGCGTTAGCTTGCAATCTTTTAACAATTAATATAAGACGCTTTTAACACTGTTTGCTTCCCATTCCATTAACTGTTAAAGGACAATATTGGTGCCAGTCATTATCACATATGTGATAGAAGTGGTTAAACACGTTCCAAATATTATTTTATCACAGAGATCATTGCTACGATAGATGAGTAATCAATTTTTCAACAATAGGAAGTGGCGAGTTATCCCTTTATATAACTGAATGAAGTGACGGGTGATAACAGATACATGGGCGAATTTCTGCTCACTAATAATTCCTTCGAAGACCAAAAGTTGTTGTGTGGGACTGTGAAAGGATATCTGACAATTCATAAACAAAATTGACTCTCACTAGATAAGAGAACATGAAAGAAAAATAGAAAAAGTCCGTGCATTACCATGTTTTTATAAGTATAGAATGAATAAACACCCGTGAAGGTACGGACTGTTTCTATTTTTGTCGTGTTCTCTTATCTAATGACATGCAATTACTTTTTTGAATTGTCAGATATACTCTTACAGTCTCATATGTGTGACTACACATCATACGGCGTCGGCCACACGTGGATTGTTTACATCGGACGTAATAACGCAATCCGGCCCCTGCAGAACTGGTGCCTTTAACTCATTTTACGTCTTCGCGTAGGGGGGTTCTTCCCCCAGAAAATTTGTGAAATTTGACAACGGGAAACGCGTTTTGCAAGCACTTCTGGGAGAAATCTAGGTATCATATTTTCCAAATTTATGCTGCTATTTTGACTATAAGACATACTACTGTACTACACAAGACACTCATGACAGGTCTGCTTAATATAATGCTAATACAATGTATTTCTATCCAAATAATAAGTTGCATCTTATACATATCGAGGCATGAATACATGTATGAATCTTTACTCTATATGAGACATGATACTAACACAAAAATGCAGCAAATGCAATTATGCTATCAGCACCACCGATTGATTGAGCACTTTTGAAAAAATTGCAAATTTGAATAAGGAATAAAATTTATATACATATGCAGGAAATGCAATTATGCTATCAGCACCACCGATTGATTGAGCACTTTTGAAAAAAGGCAAATTTGAATAAGGAATAAAATTTATATACATACGTATAATGAAGAGAAAAGTACGAATATTGACAAAGTGTCAACATGAGAAATTTATATAATGGTCAAGGATTGATAAAGACCCCAGACTAACAGACAGAATAAACTACATAATTTTCAAATTAGTGAGGGATGTATGTATGATTTTTCGCGTGCGCACTCTCAATTTTTTTAGGGGATTCCGCGTGAAAATTAGACCTCTCAGGGGGGCCCGCTTATACGGGTGGACTTATTGTTTAATGGGGGGTGGGGGCTGGGAGGACACCGTCCTCCTAAACTCCCTGCCAGCACGCCCCTGACTTCCACTATAAATATCTTTTATCCAGATATACTTCAAACACCTTTTCTTAATAATTTAAAGTATTTTAGAATGTAATTTGCAGAGCCAGAAGATAAAAAGTTAATATTGAGAGATAATTAACTATTCCCGACGTCATCCCTCTCTGTGATAGTAGCGGCCAAGCAAATAAATTCACGATGTAAAACGAACGGGAAAGAAAGAAGAATTGATAGACACATGTTCCTGAAGCAACGACTGCGAGTTTTACAACATCTAGACTTTGCTTCTTTACTTCACAATTCCCGAACTTATAGCTATGTTATAGTACAGACCCGTGAGCAGTAGCGTCCAATCAGACGTTGTGACATCGCGACCTCCACGGAAACCTTAACATTCAATGAACCTTTAACTTTGCAACTCGATTATCACAGGTAGACATTTTAGCTTCAAAGCGCGAGACTTGGTATTCGCGACGATCAAGGAATCTGATAGGCTTACAAGCTGGGCTTGTACCCAATCGAAATTAGTGCCAAAATATGCAGGGTATTACGTGAAGGCCTTGATAAGACGTACGTAGTTAAAGCGAGATCAAGCCTTCTATTGAAGATGTGATCGACAGGACGAGGGTTCAATTGCGATGAAGAAAGAAATATATCTTCAAATTAACGGTGGCAAATGGTATTAAATTAATAGGTCGCACTTGAAAGGTAAAGAAAGACCCTCTTATTTCAATAACGTCCTGCACTCGAATCCGTGACAATTTTATTTGCTCTGGCAAAGTTCGCTGAATATCGATAGGGTTTATCCTCTCATGAACCCAACTGACCCCTGATTGTACGAAACATGACATGTAGGTGGCAAATTTATATTGTTTTTAAAAACTGTTTCAATATATCACCGTTACATCATAGTCATGGTTGAGTTCGAATTTCATTAAAATTGGACAGACACGTACCGTCAAAATGATCACTCTTCATTACGCAAATAGTGGAAAAGCATGCCCTCTAGATGACAAACCTTGATATATCTTTTAAGAATTAAAAGACCTTGGATAAGTTCGATTTTGGTGCGCATCGGACCTTCCGTTTCGAAGTTATGCCCCCCCCCCCCGTCTCTTACGCAAAATGTGGAATATGTACATAGTTTGTGGACCCTATGGAAATTATGCTCCTTCCGAAAACTTTGTGAATATGATTAAGACATGTTTTTTAAACGGATTGATTTTAAATTTGGTTTGAAGCACTGGGGTCATGAGAGAACGAGCCCTATCGATAATCAGCGTTTCACGACCTTTTGTACCAAAGTTATGCCCCGTTATCCGAAACCTATGAATGCGATAGAGGCCACAGTTTTTGACAGACATTGGGTTCATGAGAGGACTAACCCTATTGATATTCGGCATTCGTCAACCTTATGTCCCGAAGTTAGCACCCTTTTCTGAAAACCTTGTGACGGCGATAGGGCCTACAGTTTCTAACATTTTTTTTCTAATTTCTTGTGGACAATTGGAAAAATAAGAGGATGAACCCTATTGATTTTCATTATTCTTCCTTTATTGCAAAATATGTAACACTTTGATCCTTAAGACAATATTTGGTCTTTGTTGCTTCACTCTTTCTATAGACTCAAATCAAACGTACTTAATGAACGTGAATGATATATTTATACACTGAAATGTTGGTGAAATCCTAACCACTGTCAAAATATCAATCAAATTCTATATGTGTTTTGACTTATGGTTGGTAGACAAGATAAGGTAATGCCCCACCCACCTGTGGTTGTGATATTGGGAGGTTTATTTCACATTTGGGATGGAAATTAACGTCAAGGTCAACCTAGGGGCTTATAAAGGAGGGGGTTCAGCGAGACTAGTAAGAGCTCACCCAGGTATTTTGAGCAGCTATTATTTATTGAGAACGAGGGACCTTCGAAGCCATTCCAGCTTAACAATAACGTTGTAGGAACCATTTAACCTGTAGTGTTATATGTTACGATCACGAATAGAACAAATGCACCAAGGAAGTCCGATAATACTACAAATAGGGACGTATTTTTTATGGCAACCGTTTGTTTCAAATTGTCGGAGGGAGGGGTGGGGGTCACTACAACTTCAATATGGTGATGTCAAATTTCTGAACCCCCACCCCTTGCTGAAAATCCTGAACCCACCCCTAAAATGTTGTCTTTCAATGTTAAACATTTGGATTTCACGCAAAAACCCTAACCATCGCATACTGGTATCACAGGTCTGTTGTTTGGAATGCAATAGGGTTTAACGTTCTATTTACTTTCTGCTCTAACCGAGCCAAAGAAGACGGTCATACGCAATGAGGTAAATCAATGTCCGGACAACAATTGAATTCTATCTATTTTGCCCGGACAACATTTGAACTGCCACGAGTTCTTTTACGTATATGCCAAGGCGTAGCCTACCTGAGACCTCGGTTTTTCGACCCATTCGAACTACTAAACCCTCTGCCTTGCCCGACCCTCTATCTTCCACCAGTGACAAGGGGAAACCACGTGGGAACTTCTCTGCCAACACATGGATCGAACCACAGACTTTCTGGTTAGCGAATCAGCGCCCTACTCACTCAACCATCCCAGCTCCCCTGTTGTTTGGACTAGACGATTGCCATCTGAAAAGACAATGTCTTTATTAATTTTTTTGTTTGAAACTATTTCTCATATATTTTATGGTCCAAGTCTTTTAATTGCTATTAATTATTTAACTTCTTTGATTTAAATTGACGCGTGTGTGTCTGTCAATGGGGCTTAACGATGATATCGCAGACAAGTTCTATTTGATATAAGTATACGAGGTTTTATACCGGTTTAAGGACAATCAGTAGTCAGAATTAAAAGTTTCAGGGATATTTCCCGCCTTCATTTATTACTAATCAATAACAACCTAATGAATAGAGTTATCTATCACATAATACGGCAATAAAATAAAATAGACGTGTTAAAGATAGGAGGCGGGCTTTAAGCAATGCGAGTACTGAAAATATCATTTAGCAAAATATAATTTAGTTAAGTAACACAATGTCGGAATATGCGGGAAAAGTTTTATTCGGGTTATTTGTTCAAACTTTTCTTTTTATGGCAGTTGTGGGCTGTGAATCTGGCGAAATGAAATATGTTTTAAAAGAGAACAATGCTTTAGCCTATAATCCGTCAACAACGACATCTGTAGAAAGTCGATCTCTGTGTGCTTTGGAATGTGAAATTGAACAATTATGTGTTGCCTTTGCCTTTAATGAAGATGGAGGAGAATGTTATCTGTATGATAGAGATATCAATGGTGAAGGTTATGATGCAAGTTTGAACACAAATCTTTACATTAAAAGTAAGTATAATTGATTTATGCCAGATGCAGATGAAGAAATCAAGAATCCTTAGTCAAAACACAAATAATCGTGGTGAAGGATGTGCTTATTATTTCCAGAATTGGGCTCACCTATGATAAGTCCACTTAGAGAACCGCTTTTACAGTTGCATTGATGTTTAAATTCGGTGCCACGGTGGATTCTTTAAACGAAGAAATATGTATAGTCTTAGG